AATAATACAATAATAAATGCAATGACTTTATTATAGATTTGTAAGATATACATACTCGATCTGGACTTGAGTTAATCCTCATATCATCCCTCTGTTTCTATGTTTAAACGTTTCGATCTCGTAATCCCGAAGAGGAAGTGCATTGACATGTGCCTACGATCAGATCAAGTTCGTCTCTAGCAATCGAAAGCATTTCCATTCTCATACATTCAACTCGAGCAGAAGCTTTGCTTCAATTAACTTGAGCCAATGTCTTCAATAGCTCAATTCAGGCAATAAATTATCTAACGTATAAACTTTGCACAGACAATTTATTCTCTACATTAAAGCAGCTGTGCAGGGTATCTGGTGGTCATTCACTTCTGACCCTGCTAAGGTACAGTTAGTTATCTCATACATATGTTTAGGATGTACGAAACATATTGCATATCTTTAAGGAAAGTTTTTCTTCTTTTTCATAAATTCTTTGATATTTAATATTAAGAAATTCAATTGCTTTGTCAAAAATAAAGTTAGCTAATACTGAGTCTTTTATTAGGCTTGAATTTAATATAAAATTAAATTTTATATTATTAATGGTATTTTCTTATATTTAAGACAGTAATTCCAATGATTAAAATAGTTTTTTAATGAGTAAATAATATTTTATTATTTATATTTAATTGACATRTTTAATTTGTGAATTTTAGTTTATATTAAGAGTTGATTGAGCTCAGCTGCTCCTTAAGCACTTCTGGCCAGCAACATTTAGAGGCGTCAAAACGAGCTCAGATGAGGAAAATAGAAGCACAGGCTAGATTGTTAACACCTCTAAAGTCTGCTTCAACAAGGTGCGAAATTGGGTTTGCATTTTGTTGTTGCTGTTTTTGGTTTTTTGCAGAAAACTGTCTACAAATTGTTTGGTTTTGATTCGTTTTCTCTTTCTTGTGCAGCTGCAAATAGTTTTTCCATTCCATTCAGGCAATTATGGAAACAACATGCACATACATATATATAGGAAAATAATTCCACGTATAATTGCCGTTCTCAGACAATAACAAAATTCTTGCATAGCTGTCAACAGAATTATCGAAAGACTCAATAACAGATCCAATTTCAATGTGCGACGATATTTATTTTCATTCGCTGCGACAACAACAGCAGCAACAACAACAACAACAACAATAATGAAGTTGACGATGATTTTATATGGTTTATTTCTTTTATGTATATATATTACGCTCTCTTCTGGGTGCAGACAGTCAGTTTTGATTCCCTGCTCTGTTCTTCCAATAGAAGACAGCAGAAACAGAAGAAACAGACAGACAGACAGACAGACAGACAGCGTGCGAGCGGAGCTTAGAGTATGTGTAAACAACAATTTCACGCAACTAAGATGGCAAATAAACAACAACAACAACAACAACAACAGCTAGATAAAAACAAGAGTATACCAGGAGGAAATGTTAGCTAGAAGATACCCTAAAGCCTAGACTCAGGCAAATGCTTGCCTGAACTAATTTTGCGATCTTTGTAAATATGTATAGATGCTATCATAAAAAACTTTAGAAAATTTAAGTAGAAGTCTTTAAACTATCTTTTATGTTCTGCTAGAAGAAATATCTACAGATAATCCTAGAAGAAATATTTCACTATATTTCTTTTACAAATCGTAGAGATATTTAATAAAGGAAGACATTTTAATCGTTATTTTAATACAATTTCAATTCCAAAAATTATTGTGAAAATCCCAGTCTTCGCCTGGGATTTCGAGAAAAAATTTTAATATGCATTTTTACATAGGAAAGATTCTAGCCTATATACATATGAAGTAAAACAACTTGCACATCAAATTTCACATCTTTACGACATTGAATCTTCACTTAGTTTCCTAAGATCTTTTGCTTTTTGATAAAAGCGAAAACAGATATATATCTATATAGATATCTACGCTATCTACATTTCCCCACAGTCAATATACCCATTTTAAAATAGTTTAAAGGTATCTGCGAAATTCTCGCGCGCTTTTCTTCAGCTTTGACTGCCGCAATTGCGAATCCTATTGATTTCCTGTTTACCAAATGCCGAGACTGAGTCTTCCAAGCTGGCGTTAATGAGGCGTTCGATGTTCTTAATGTTGTTGTTGTTGTTGTTGTTGCTGCTGCTGCCAGCTGCTGTGTGCATTAGATCAGAGTAACAGCAACAACAACAGCGTTCACTGCAAATATGTGCCCAGCACTTTGCAAGTGTCGGGCTTTTTCGGCCAACGCTGCGTATGTGCAATGCAAACGAACGCGTGACGTTCGAGCGCAAAGAAAACAAACAAAAGCTCACTCCCCTATAGATGGATCACATGATGCGTCTGATGTGCCACTCGCTCGCCCGTTCGCCCGCTCTGCCTCTCTCGCTCTCTCAGAGTGGGAGGCTCGACTCGCACACACACACACACACAGAGATATAGTTAGCCGGCAGCCGGCTTTCGGGCAGCCGCAGCGTCTGTTTGGCTGCTCGATTGACCGTCGTCGTGTGGCCTCCGATTTGATTTGTTTGTTTGGTTTATGTATATTTATTGAAAATTTACTGCTTGCATAACAAACGACGACCACGACGACGACGACGACGACGTCGCTGATGCTGGCCTTCCCCCCAGCCACTGGCACGCCCTCGCCTGTCCAGGCTGCTGGCGTATGCAAATTTGCGTATGCGTAAGTGGGCGGCATTGCTTGGCTGGCTGACTGGAGAGGAGGCTGTGGGGCGTGGCTCTGCGCTAGGTGTCACTGCCCAAATGTCATTAATCTCGCGCCCAAAAACAAAAAGAAGCGTTTACTTTAGCTTGATGAGTTTACTGAAAGGAATTTCCTGTTGTGCTGCATGCGATAAAACAAAAAAAAATATCAAAAATTTCTTAAGAAGCGAAATTTTTTCATTTATGAAACCGAAAACGCGGTTGACCTTTTTTTATGCTATAAATATATATGTATATTTTTTATTGGGTTAAGCCAGAACCTACGTCTGCTATACAGCACATTTACTCAGCTACAGATACAGATATATCGATGCAAATACAGATACACAGGGAGAGAGGGAGGCAGAGAAAGAGAGAGATATCGAGCTGAAGCCAGACTCTGTCGAGGCTAAAAATAACTCGGGTCGTAGACGATTGGCAGCTGGCTGGCCCCCAACTCTGGCGGCTGTGCGCAGCTATTGCGCAATCGTGGCGGCAACTTTGTTGCCCCAACAACAAGAGAGGCCGAAGAAGAAGAAGCAGCAGCAGCAGCAGCAGTTAAAGGCAGAAGCAGGAAGCAGCGGCATGAATGGTCACAGACCCTGGCTGTCGCGGAATGCCAAATAAACAACAACAACAACAGCAAAAATAATGTTGGCATGGGGCGCGTAGGTAAACGGATTATCTGTAGATAAGCAATCAATATATATGCATATATATACATACATACATCTAAACACTTATATATAACAAATATTTATAGGTGTGTGTGGGAATTTATCAGCTATGCTCGCATAGTACATATTTCATATTTCCTGTCAATCCCTAACATTCTTATGTATCACAGTCTTCGCTCTAAGAATCATATGTACAGTTAGTGTACCTATAACTATACCTATAGCAAATACATAACTGTGTATCAATTTAGGATTAAGTTAGTAAGTAATAAGCCAGCTACGAAAGAAATTCTAAACAGACATATATCGTATGATGGATTGGACCATAGTATATATGTACTATAATAATATACATATATACATATGTATTATATATTACAAAATTATACTACACCATAATATATATTGATTACATCTATGAGCTCAAGAAGAGTAAACGATTTTCAAAGATATAGATCTCAGTTATTGTGAATTATGGGTTGAATAGGAGAAAGAGAGAGAGAGAGAGAGCGTGTGTAAGAGAGAGAGGGAGTGGGAGAGAGAGGGAGAGAGAAAGAGAGTGGGAGTGAGAAATAGAGACAAGATGAGAGGCGAGAAGAGGGGCAGCATATAGGCATACATACATCTCTCTCAGTGATAAAGAGCGAAAGGAAATCTAATCTCAAATTCAATATTTAGCATTTATACACATATTATAAATATTTGTATGGCAATTCGTGTTATATATTATAGTCTCTTTTGCCAGTTATCTCATTCTACTAATTATAATAACAGTCTTATCTAATTTGCAAAGCTTTGGCACTGTTTGCCAAGCACTTAACGTATCACATTACCAATTGTTTTATAGCACACAAATATGCAACTGACTCGTGCCATCTCTCCTTATCTACAACATATAAATATACAATATATAAACATATATACGATTAGCCATTTAGCACAGCTTCGCTAATAGTTCTGTTTATCGCTGGCCATGTGCTAATGAGCTTGACCTGGTCAAAAGCAAATGGCTGAGCATTGGTTACCAACAGCTACCCACGACAATATGCAACTGCAACTGAATGTGGCAAGCTGCATGCTTGCTGCTGCAACACGCAATGCAACTGCACTGAAATTTGGTGCAGCTTAATTGAAGAGTTTGAAAGTTCGTCTTTTTGAATATGCGATGCACTTGTTGCTGAAGTGCAGCAACAACAGCGAACAGCAACAGCAACAACAACAACAGCAGCAGCAGCAGCAGCAGCAGCAGACGCCAGCGGATGCAATTCAATACAAACAACAAGAGCAACAACAACAACAACAACAAAAATCCAGAATAAATGCCCAAAAAACATGAAAACAGGTCTTTAAAGCCGACGTCGCGACGTCGGCCAACGGTCAAACTGCATCAAGAAAAAGGCAGGCTATATAAGAATATATATATATATCTAAATATATAGACGAGTAGTCACGCGTTGGCCGCCACCAAGAACCGCAGACAGCGAGCGATTCGAGACGTTTTCTAAAATATATATATAAAAGTGCATATATATATGTATATATTCTATATACATTATGTATATGTATGTGTATGTCTGTGTGTTATTGGGGCTTGGCAATGCAGTTGCTAAGCTTTTGCCTGCTGCGGTGAATGCATTTTATGCGGTTGTTGTTGTTGTTGTTGCTGCTGCTGCTGCTCCTTGCATTTCTATACACTTGAAGCAGAAAAGGCATTGTGAATATGCCAGAGAATGTGCAACGTCTTAGATAAACCTAAACATTTTTGTAGAGAATATGGATCTAGCTATAGACTCAGCTCTAGCTAGCCTCAATCAAAAAGGATCAATAATTTTGAATCAAATGAAATCTTTCTAAATATTTAATAATTCAACATTACAGACTGTTAAAAATCTATTGAATCTGAGCTATTTATCGATATATTTCAGCCACTGTCCTTTACAGTCCTAACTTCTAGAAATCACAAAAACTAAGCCAAAGAAATTTCCGTAAGGGCATTCAATTTGCGTCAGTTACACAGCTAACTGTTTAACTCAATGTGCATGTTGTTGTTGTTGTTGGTCTTGTCGTTTGCYTTAGCTCCTTCAAACCAAATTTTTGCTTCAACTGCTATTGTTGTTGTTGTTTTTGTTGTTGTTGTTGTTTTGTAAACACTGTGGAATTTCAAGCATTTGCGCGCGCAAAAATGAATATAAAAAACCAAAACCAAAACAAAACAAAACTTTTAGTACAGTAAACACTCCAAAATTCTGCAGAAACTACGCAGACTGACGTAGACTAGACTAAACCAATAATAACAGACGGAACAGTAATAATAATGAAAATTAAAAATGGAAAATACACGTAGAAAGCAGTCAATATAAATACTAACAACAACAAAGGCTAGTAGTTTAAAATATATATTTAAAAAAGAAAATAAGAGAGGAGAAAAAATGCAATTCTAAAAATAGCCAAGCGTCTTGCGTCTTGCACGAGGCACGACAGGAATGCAGCTCCAATGCAAGTGCGTGTGCTGCACTTGGACGCTGTCCGCGTCGGCTACGTCAGGCCGGGCTCTGTCTGTGTGCGTGTGTGTGTGTGTGTGGCAGTGCAGACAGCGTCTGGCTGTGCCGGGTTAACCTGGATAGCCACTGGCTGCCAGGCTACAGAGCCAGCCAGCCAGCCGAGCGACCATCATATAAAATGTCGCAACGCATGTTAACGCAATAATTTTTTTTTCTCTTTTGCATACCCTGGCAAGCATTAAAAGTGGGTAAGCAGAGCATATTGGCTCTCGTTGCAAATACGAAAATTCGATTGAGAAAGTTTTGCTATCGATGCACTGAGACGAGCTGATAGAACTCGCCTTTAGTGTTTAGTTTGTTTAGTCAATCTATACAATCATTGCCTGAATAGCAATAAAAATTAATTTGAAAATTTATTATTGTAAATTAAATTTATTATTTATTTTTTCCCATAACTGGAGAGCATATTTGCTGTGATGTTTCTCTGAATGTATCAAGAGAGCTGCATGAAATGCAAATGGTGTGGAACAGCTATACATAAGCAAATTATAATACAGACTTCGTTACAAATTTATATTAAGCCTTGTTAAACAAATCAAATGTATCCAATAGCAATATATAGAACTTTACCTTTCCAATTTATGAAGCAAATTCAATTTAAAACTGAAATACGCCTATAAGTTCAGGCAATCTAAAATATGTTAGCTGAATACTTTTTAGCTCAGCCCAAGCTTGCTTATACAAATTTTTAGTCGGTATTATTATTATTAATTATTTTATTTTTTTTTTAATATTAAATTAAAGCAAAATTAGAAAGCATAATGTGAATAACAAATACAATTTTTAGTATTCTATGCGGTTTTAGGCAAAGTAAGATTTGCCATACTTTCATGAAACTATTATATTATATTATTAGAATATATTAAGCACCTTTAAACATGATTTAATCCTAATACAGTCCTATATGTGTATAGATATTAAATGTCCTCACATCGCATCATTCCTAAAATTAAAGGATATTTTGCAGTCTGTCAGTTTCGCATAAAGCTCTATTGTTTTTTTTTTTGTTTTTTGTTTTTTGTTTTTTTTCTTTTTTGCATGCCTTGCAGCCCCGACTGCATGCTGCCCCGTTCATGAACATGAACCATGACGCAGTAGGTCATTAATTGTTTACGAGGAAATGTGCAATGTCTGGCTGCGGCACAGGTAAAAACAGAGAGAAAAAAGCCGAAAGAGAGTGAGTGAGAGAGAGAGAAGAAGCAGCAGATGAAGAGGAAAAGACGCTGAAGCAGGCTAATTTGGGGGGCCAGGCTGAGCAGGCTGAGCAGGCCGCAGGCGGCACTTAAACGAGCTGAAAAGACATTGACAATTGTTGCCGGCTTATGTGGCGGGCCACAGCGAAGAAGCAGCACAAGAAGAAGAAGAGGAGGAATAGAGATAAAGAGAGGCAGAAGGCGAGCGTAGGCTGCGCCTCAAGGACGTTGCCAAGTTAAGCAAATTAGGATGCTTGAGTTAATCTAACAGCCGGCACATGCACAAGTCACACTCGAGTCACGTTTTGCTACTCAATGCAATTGTTGCATGTCTCTGTCTGTAGCTGTCGCTATCGCTGTCTCTGTCTCTGCATCTATCTGTCTCTGTCTGTCTGTCAGTCTGCGCTGTCGGKGCTGTCTGTCTGCATATGTTTGGTTTGGCTTGAGCACGTCCTTAATGTCATGACAATGACGGCAGCAGCCAAAATAAAACAAACGCCAAACTAGCGCGCCAAACTGCAAGTCAGACAAGCAGAGAGAGAGAGAGAGAGAGAGAGAGACAGAGCAGCAAAGACAAACGCGACTGCATTATACGCCAAACCTACCTACAAAATAAACTCGCGCACCTGCCTCTGCAACGGCAGCAGCATTGCAGACAACGACAGCGATGACAGCAGCAACAGCAACAGCAACAACAGCAGCAGCAGCAACAGCAGCAGCAACAGGTTCTTTATTTTTAGTAGTCGCATTTTGAAAACCGCCTGCTCAATGTCAACTCAACGTTTGAGACTTAATTGTTGCCTCTTTGCAGTCTTTGTTGTTGTTGTCTTTGCTTTTGCTTCGGCAAAAAAAAAAAAAAAACAAAAAAAATTCTTTGTGCATGACTGTGGTTGCATCATGTCGCCTGAGGCATGTGCTTCATTCAAGTGGCTGCAGTCGGCGAGGCTAACAATGCCTGCTCCAAAAAAAAAAAAAAAAAAAAAATATTCTATATATTTTATTCCATTATTATTAATTGATAAAAATAAATACTAAATATATTGAAATTTCTTCAAATCATTTGCAGCACACCAGAGCAATTGTTGCTGTTGCTGCTAGTTTGCCTTGTCATGCGGCAGCAACAACATCATCAAACAAACAGTCAGAACAATTTGACATTTCTAAAATCAAATTACAAATACAAGCGCAGAGACATGCGGACAATGCGCGCACTTCCGTTCGCAGCGCGCAAGCCAAACCAATTAGCGGCAACATTGTCAAAGACGTCAGCAACGGCAGCAACTGTGGCAGCGGCAACAGCAACAGCAACAGCAACAGCAACTGCTGCTGCTCGCGAATGTAGCACAATTCTAAGTTTATTTATAGTAATCATATGGATGGCTTTGCAGGCGATGGCCAATTGCCTGCGCTATGCTCGACGCATAATTGTTGGTCATGATGATGATCGTGTTGGTCGTGATGATGTTGCTGCTGGCCATGACCGTGACGTCAATACACAAATACTAGCACATGCACGCAATACGCACGCCGGCAACAACAACGACATCATTGACGCTAATGATGAGGTGTCAACGGCACGTGAACAACAACAGCAACAACATCAGAAGCAACACCAGCAGCAACAGCAGCAACAGCAGCAGCCTCATTTATCTAGTTCTAGTCCACAAAAGAGCAGCCCCTGCAAGGCAGCAACAACAACAGGCACAGGTACAACAACAACAGCAGCAACACGCGTCATGTTGCCGGCAGCAGCAGCAGCAACAGCAGCCAAGTCTGGACAGCCATTGATGACTTTGTTAATTGCATTGCTGCTGAGCATGCGGCACGCATCGGGTAAGAGGCATCCATCACACTCACACACACACACACACAGCAGTACTGACTCATGCTTGACCCAAAATCAAAATGAAATGATAAAACACAACAAACACACACACACATATCTGTATAAAGCAGTTATAATAAAGTGGCGCCAATCGCTGCATACATTTTCGTTAGCTTTGTCTCCGTAACTGTATCTTTAGCTTGAGCTGTCGCTGTCTCTGTCTCTGTCTCTGTCTCATTCTTTGCCTCGGCATATGCATCTCTCTGTCTCCATCTATCGCTGTCTCTATCTCTTTGTGTTTTCGGCGCGTTCATTCGCCTCAGATAAATGTGACACATTATCTCCCGAATATGACGCAATTTCTCAACACATTCTCACATTTGTCTCAGCCCCATGTGCCAAATCAATCGAGAGGAAACAAAATAAAAGCAACGCAAAAAAAAAAACACACAAAAAAAATTGTATAAAAAATTGCAAACAAATTTTGGGGCTTTGCCTGCCATCATTTATTAACGCCCGGCATATTTTTTATATTTTTTATTTATTTGCTTTATCTGTGGCAAAAATATTTTGAAAGCCAAACGGCAAATATCTCACATTTGATCAATTTATCAACTCAATCGAGAATTTCTATGCACACATCTAGATTTCTGGTTTTATAGAGTCGCTGAGCTATAACAAATTCTTAATTAAGAAATAACTTTGCGAGCGTTAAGGCATTTAATGCATGTAAATGTTTCAATTAATCACTAAGCAAATGCATTCGAATGCAAGACAAATCGATTTAGCAGCTGTTCTAGATTAGATTTTTTTTTTTTTTTTGCAATTCTTTATAAAGTTTATAAATTTACATTTGACTATGGCAAATCTATAAAAACTCGGAAAAGAATTATAATATTATTGCCTAGTTCGTTCCATGGCCAAAGCCCTTAAAAGTGCCCACGTAGAGCAGACAAAAGTCGAACAGGTTTTACAGAATCGTCACAGTTCGTATTGTTATGCTTATGGTAGTAGTATGACATGATGCTGTTCTCGGCGATTCTCAAAAATTCATATAGGCTCTGTAGCATTTTAATGCATTGAAAATTCAATTGTGTTAGTGTTGAAAAATCGTGATAGGCAAGCGTCTCTCTTTCTCTCTCTCAGTCACTCTGCCACGACCTCATATCCTTCTTCATTTAGTCATATACTCACGGACTCCCATTTATTTTTTTTTTTTTTCGGGTCTCCTCACTTCATCTCTCTTGCGTATATATACTCAGTCAAAGCTCTACTTCTAGTATTACTTGTAATTCTTGCCTTCTTCTTCTGTCTTCCTGTTTTTCCTTGTACTTTTTTTGTTGCAATCTGTCCGTCCAATCAATCAGTCTTTCGTCTCATTTCACATTTTAGTCACTCTCCTTTGCTCAATATCTTACAATACTCTTCTCTCCCTCTCCCTCTCTATGTCTCTCTCTCTCTCCCACTCTCTGTTGTATTCTGTCCTTCGGTCTCTTTTGCTTGTTACCCTCTCTTACATCTGTGTCCTCATTTTCTCGATCTCTCTCTCTCTCCATTATTATATTCCTCTCTTTCCAATTTTTTTTCCTTTGACTCTCTCAATCTCCTCCTCACTCGCATTCTGATTCATCCGACTCTTCTATGCGATTTTCATAAATCTAAACTAGAGCTTACATAATTCCATCTTAATCTCTAGTATATTTCATGCATTCTTCTGCATCTTCCTCCTTCACCTTATATGTCTGCAGCCGGCACCTGTTGGCAGTCGCATATGGGCAGCGGTAAATGCACTCAAATCTATTCAACAAACATCACAAAATCGGATTGCTGCGGCGCCAGCCAGACCTTCTCCTACACGGATCGAGAGCTGAGCAGCGTCGAGCATTTCTTTGCCACAGCCATCGGAGGCGGCGTTGAGTGTGCGCCGTGCATAGGTGAGTGAACCGGGCGGACAGACGGACAGTGGACATGGGAGAGACTGTCTGAGACTATATAATTTTATGCAATCTTGCAGAGAGCTGCAAGGGTTTCAAATGTGGGCCAAACAAGAAATGCGTGAAGCGCAAGGGCAGGCCAAAGTGTGTGTGTGCGCCCGAGTGTGGAGCGACATTGCGCCGGAAGCAACAGCAGCAGCAGCAGCAGCAGCAGAAACAACAGCAGCAACATCACAGTGCACCGGAGCAACAGCAGCAGCAACAGCAACAACAACAACAACAACTGTGGGCGTCATCGTTGCGCGGTTCACGTAGTCTAAGTAGCGAAATTACAAACAGCAATTTAGGTTTAGATGGCGCCAAACGCCAGCATAAGCAAAGCGACAGCAGCAACAACAGCAACAACAACGGCGCTGATAACCAAAGAAAACAACAGCAGCAACCAAGCCAAGAGCAGCGTATGCCAAAGCGAGCGAGTCATAGTCGAGGAACAGAGCTGGGCGAGACGAGGCACAGAAGACTTTTGATTATAGACAGCAGCAATTTGCAAGAGCAGCCCACAACCAGACGGCTGCACATGGAGGGCAGCAGCAGCAGCAGCAGCAGCAGCAGCAGCAGCAGCGGCGGCGGCAGTGGAGGCCGAGTGCAAATGCAGATGAAGGTAGAAATGGAAAGAATGACGCCGACTTGGAGCAGCAGCGAGCGGCGCAGACATAGAAAAAATAACAGCAGCAACAACAATGGCAAACACTTAACAAGATCAATGACGACAACAACAACAACAGCAGCTGCAGCAGCAACAGCAGCAACAGGAGCCAATGACTCGTCCACGACGCCTGCGCAGACATCTCAGTCTAGACACAAGTTGGCAAATGCTAATGAACCCGCCAACGACATTAATAGACAGACGTCGCCAAAGCGAGGCAGACACCAGCAGCAGCAGCAACATGCTCCAAATCACGAACTACATTACGAGCAGCAGCAGCAGCAGCAGCAGCAGCGCAGGCGTAAGCACAAGCACAACCACAAGGATCAACGGCGAACGGCAGCAAATACCACAATGTCTGGCTTGGGCTCAGTCGCTGTCTCTGGCGGACGTCGTCGCTTGTATTTGCCTGAACACGGAAGTGAATTGGCTGCGTCATCAGCGGGCAACAGTCACGGCCACTTGGCTAATGTCGATGATTTGGCATTTTTGCCAGCAATTTATGAGCGAGCGCCACTGGTGAGTCGAATTCAAATAAAATAAGCAAAGGCAAGGCGAACAAAATTCTATTGCATACGTCAAAGGGGCATGCCACAAGCAAATATACCCTGTACTGCACAAAAACTGATCAAATTTTTAAGCTATTATGATGTGATTAAGGGAACTTTATTTATATTTATATATT